TGCTGGTTTCTCTGTGTCTCCTACACGCAATGGCCTGGCTTTAGGCTCTTCTCTGTTGCGTCTTTGGGGCGCGTTTGAATCCTCATGGTAGACTTGACAAAATAGAACAGATGATGACTTAATCTTTCTTCTTTGGGATAGCAAATGTTTTAAATATGGTTCACATTTTACTGTTTACTTATTTGTTAGGCATAGACAGAGCTGTTGATAAAAGCTTACACTTGAAAACAGATATGGTTAGTGAACAATTTTGAGAAATCAATCATTGGCCTTTTCTTTGTACAGTTTTGTTACAAAATGTATTTTAAGTAAATGCTCTGCTTTTGAAATTTACATTAATTTCCGTTTTTTTTAATATTGAAAGATAAATGTGTAAATTAGGCACCAAATCATCGTATTAGAAAGAATTGTGAAGAACTGGACTAATGTTTGCTGAACAATTCAGCTTTACAATGAACAATTTACAACATTTTTTTATAATCTTAAAAACCTGATTATGAAAAAAAGAAAATGAGTGCAATTACAGACTGCAAAAATATTTCACAAGATTACATTTTTAAAGGGATACTTCTACTCAAAAGTTTTTTAATTCTGCCATCATTTAAATCAGCCTTCACTTGTTCAAAACCAAAACACAAAGAAGCCATTGACGATGATGGATTCCAGCAATCAGTTTTCTTCAAAACATCTTCTTTTGGGTTCAACAAAAGAAAGAAACTAATAACTGTTTAAAACCACATGAAGGAGAACAAATGAAAAAAAATGAACTATCCCTTAAATGTGAGCATAAGAGACTTAAAAACATCTTACTGACAAACGTTTGAACAAACAGTTGTTTGTGTGTACACTTACAGCGATTATGCTGGACGTAATTGACCGCAATGTTTGTGGGAACAAAGGAGGTCCCGCTGTCTTTCTTCTTATTCCTCTGCTCAGCTAGCAGCTTTGCTTTGGCTTCTTCTGTGTTGATGATATTCTTTATCTTTGCGCTGAGAAGAAAGAGAGAAAAGAGGCTTTTAGGTTGACATCAATCATTTGTTTGTTCTGAGCCACCAGTCTAGAGAAAACAATAACTGATGTCCATGAATTAGCTTGTGTCTTTACTCACTCAATCCCCAGATCCACCTCTGGAATTCCGCTCAGCATCTGATTGGACAACATCTCTTCTGTCTTTTTGGCAGAGCTGACGTTGATGTTCTCTGGAAGCTCATACAGGAGGTCCTCTGGATTCTTCACCTTTACCTTCTGCTCCTCTGCCTCCACCATGCCTTTCTTTTTCTTTAACTCTGTCTCAATGTACTTCATCCTGCGTGAAATGAGATGCATGATGGGAGAGGCTTTAAACATAGTGACAAAACCAGCAATGCAGAGAGTATGTGATGTAGAAGCATGCACTTACATGTCAGCATCTTCATCTCTTCTGTTTGTCTCGGCAGAAAAGGATGTACCAAGATTGAGGTCATTTTCATCCACTGTCCTGTAACAAAAGAGGAAGTGTCAAGATGCAAATATAGAGACATCTTGAAATGAAAAGCTAACATGTTTACTTAATTCTTACATGTCTCTGCTTCTGTCTTTCACTTTCTTCATGTCAACAACACCTCCAGTCTTCAGTTTAAATGGGTCATCCTATGACATAAACATGGAGGGACAAAATGTCAAACCTCTATTAGCTCATAGAGAAGAACAAAGTTACACTGCAAGGCTTGTATTGTAGTGCAAAATGTAGTTTGATTAAAATAATAAAACACCTCAAGCTCAGCCTCTAAAGGAAGCTTCTCTCCAACAAGTAACGTTGCAATGCTGGACAAACAGAATGGAAAATAGCATTTATTATTCTCACTTTAATTACACAATGAAAAGAAAGAAAAATGTAAACACCACCAACAGTAACAACCACAAAGCAGCTCATGACCAACCTCACTCCATGCTGCCTTTTTCGCAGACTCTGTAGCTCCTTGGCTTCATCCAGTTTTGACCTGGGTAAACATATAATAAAAGTAACATCTTTAAATAGTTTTTCACATTCAATAGGTTTCTGTCCTCTCTGAATGCATGTACAAACTAAACAAGTCAGCTGCATTAATCTTTTCTGCTCGTTTTACCAAGCGGTTTACAACAGCTGTGTTTACTTTGTTTGGCCTGAATGTGTTGAATATATCTACCTGACTACGAATTTTGTTTCATCATCTTCCTCGTCGGATGAATCCTCTTTCCTTCTTCTAAAATTTTTACCTGGTGGCATGACTTGTTTTTAAAACTCGTCGAATTATTTACTGATAAGCGTTACGTTACCCCTCGTCCGTCTGTACGCAACGGTGGCGGTCTATGTTTAGTGACGGACCTCATTCTCTAGAAACTTCCGCTCGCTGGCATCACATTTGTCGTCTTAACAGTTGATCTCAGATCAGCTTGCCTGTTTTTTGTACAGCCGTTGAACGGCGAAAAGCGGAATGATGAGACTGGTTCTAGATCAGCTGCTTCTATGACACGATACAGAAAAACAAAACAAAAACGGCGTAAATTTAATAATAAACACTCTATACGATAAATGAACGTGTAAAACAAGCAGTATGTGTATTTTATAATCGAAGTAAATAAAAAATTATTTGATCATGCTAAAGAACGAAATGCGCTCATTGGCTGTGGTCAAAGCCGTGACGCACGCTTCTGCTGTATTCAGTATGGATGCTGCTTAGTAGTAACGTTACACTGCTTCCCACCACTGTTACAAACACCTCCGATTGGCCTAAAATGACTATCTATGAGCGATATTTTTGTTTCTGTATGACAGGTAAATATCTGTTTCTGTCTTTCCTTTTGCTAAATCGGACTGTCACTGTTGTTTGATATGATAACATCATGTCGACTCAGCGTATGAATAGTGTCTTGCAGACCGAGTGGAAATATGGCCTGTTTATTCTGCAAGATCGTGATGTTAAACAGCTTTTAGGTGGTTCACCGTGACGTATTTGAGGACTGCTGTGTGTTTATGAACATAATAAACACCGAAGACGAAGAGGAAAAACTATTTGTTTTGTTTTAGATATTATGTTTTAATTCAGATGAATTGTTTGCATTACATTCATATTAACGCGATTGTTTTCTGCGTCGTTTCGGACTTCAGTTGAAGTTAGTTTTCTAGTGAAAATTTGATTCATAGAATCATGTTTTTTTATATCAATTATTGTATATTTCCCTTGCTGTAATGGAGGTGTTGGTACGGGACGAATGTTTTTTTTTCCCATCAACTGACTAGGCGAATGAAACAGCAATTTTGGCCTCTTAACAGTTCTAGGCAGAAACATAACACACATTGAGCAGATATGCTAGATAGATACCATCCTCAATACTCTATAAATATTTTTAAATTTTTATACTTATAAAAAAAATATTATATAATATGGTATATATTTCCGTTAATATCTATTCAATGAGGGCAGATTTTTATTTATAATTCTCACTGGTAATGAGAGTGTAAGGTTCTTATGGGGACAGTTTATCAAATAATTTTGTCATCATTTCATATTAATGAAAGTTTATGGTTTCTGACTTTTTGATTTTTGTTAATTTTGGAGAAAGATTTTTAAAAATCAATGTTATTTACTGTATTGGTGCTGCGCAGTCTCAGAGCTGTACCAGACATTCTTAAAGGGTTTGTTTACCCCAGAAATAAAATAAAAAGAAAGGATTATTATTCAACCTCATGTTGTTCCAAACTCCACAAGACCTTTATTCATTTTCAGAATACAAAGTAAGATATTTTAGATCAGGGCTGCACAATATATTGCTTCAGCATCGATATCATGATCAGTATTACACAATAGTCACATAGCAGGATCTATGCTATGTTGAGTTTGTTTTTGATGCCTGTGATTGTATAATGATTTTAAAAGCATTCAGGTATAAGAAATTGTACAACTTGTGACCTTAACTACTTTAGTTTTTATCATTCAGTTACTGCACTTAAATATTTTTAGACTCAAAAAACGATAAAATACTTTATTTCAATTGTATCTTTTTCTTAATTTTATTTATAGATTGTTATTCATGAAAATACCCACAACACATTCAAATACAGAAATACTCTGCAAATAGCACAGACCACAATAAAAATGTGTCAGGGGGACTCCAAATAGTTTATAGATTGTTTATTAGATTTAATGGAGATGCACTTCCACTGCAGAATCATCCCAATAAATCTAACATTATAACTTTTTTCCAAATAGAAAATAGAAGTAGAGTCATTTGCTGAAATTGTGTTCATATCGCAAAATATATTGCAAAAAAAATATATATATTGCAATGTTAGATTTTTCCACTATTGTACAGCCTTATTTTAGATTAAATCTGAGAGCACTATGATCTTCCATAAACAGCAACCATCTGACTTGTTCAAAGTCCAGAAAAATACTAAAGCATCCCATATATCCTTTCAGTTGTTCAATTAGAGCATTATAAAGATACAAGATTACTTTTGTGTGCACCTAAAGCAAAAATAAACAACAATATTTCTTCTCCCCAGTCCAGCACTCCATGCTGTGGCCTTTATGCATGTCACGCTCCTGATGTATTGTTTGGATGTGCCTGTGCTTTGTTTCAAACAGAGGAAGATTGTGTTGACATCTGAGGTATACATCAGTGCTCATGAAAGTGCACCATATACTAACCAGAATAGAAAGAAACTGTTGAATAAAGGTGTTTTATTTATGATAAATGATTTATTTTTATTTATTTATTCATTTTGTTATTGTTACATAATATTACGATTGAACCATTTAAGATACATGGACTATTTTAATTATGTTTTGTGGTATCTTTGAGGATTTTGAATGAGTTGGGACCATTGCTATCCATGGAAGATGAGGGAGCTCTAAGATATTTTAATTTGACTGGGTTTAGAACAACATTAGGTAGAATACTTATTGACAGACTTTTTGGGTGAGCTGTAACTTTGAAGTGATTTTTGTGCTTTTCAATAGAGTGAGAAGAAAATCAGGATGACTGACAGCGGGGATCTTTGTCCTCACTTGGACTCGATTGGTGAAGTTACTAAAGAAGAACTGATTCAGAAATCAAAGGTTAGAATTAATTTAGCTGATGTACAGGACTTAATATAATGAGTGCAGTGGATTGAATATTGTTATGTTTTTTTTTTTTTCAAGGGCACGTGTCAGTCATGTGGAGTAGGTGGACCAAATCTCTGGGCATGTCTGCAGGTATGGCAAACTATTTGAGAAGTACAGTGGATCTTTAGGTTATACAAGGATTTACAAAGTCATTTGGTCAGTATGGTTTAATCCAAGATTAGTCCAGAACATTACTTTGAAGCAGGCATGAAATAAATATCATTTGTTTTTTAAATGGTGTTAATGATCTTATCATAAACTCATTGTATTAAAAAAAATACTTTAGAATCAAGTGCCCCTGCAGTTTTTTTTTTTTTGATTATCCATTCAGATTAGAATATGGAGGAAAAGATCTGTCACTACAGTTCAATCAAATGCCTCTTACTTTATTTTTTTACAGTGTGACTGTCCTTATGTAGGCTGTGGAGAGTCGTATTCAGACCACAGTACTATTCATGCACAGGTGATATTTATGATTTGATTGGTTATTATGTCCATTCTCAAGCATTCATCCTACAGTTCTGCTCATGAGTTTCCAAACTATATACAGAATAGACAAAAACTTCATGTTAAATTGCAGGTTCATTTGGATCTTTAAACAGAATTTTAAGCATTGTTGAATTCCTAAACACGGAATAGTTTAATCAAGACAGTATTAAAAGGATGGTTCACACAATAATGAAAATTTACTCACTGTTTAATCGCCTTAAATTGGTTTGAAACTATTATGAGCTCTTTTTTTTCCGCTGAACTTAAAATAATATATTTTGAAGAAAACTGTAAACCGTAAACATTGATCTGCATAGTAGGAAAAGCAAATACTATGCAAGTCAATGGTTACAGGTTTTCTACTTTCTTTAAAATATCTTTTTTTGTGTTCAACAGAAGAAAGAAACTCAAACCAGGTTTGGGACAAGTGAAGGGAAAGAAAATGGTGACAAGATTTTCAGTTTTGGGTGAACTACTTCTTTAAATGTAACATGCTCTTTTGTTTGGATAATTATGACAGAACATTGCATTATATAGGTATTCAATACAATTCATCCTTATTTTTATAGCGCTTTTAGCAAAATGTAGATTTTGTCAAAGCTGCTTAACATAAAAGTTCTAGTAAAGTCCAGATTTCAGAGTTGAAGTTCAGTTTAGTTCAGTTCAGCATGGTTTAAATTTCACTGCTGTAAGTAACAGGTGTAATAATATGTAACTCTCGAATGTACATTTTTGTACATCTGTTTATCTTCTTTTAACTATTTTCCAGGCCAAAAAGCACAATCTGACAGTAAACCTGACCACATTCAGGGTGTGGTGTTATGTCTGCGAAAGAGAGGTGTTTCTGGAACCGAAGCCTGTTACTCCTGTATCATCAGCTCACCGCTGCAAACCACATGACCAGGTAGATACGTTAGACTATTTGAAACCGCTCATAGAGTTGCACTTTTAGTATTGTGCAAAGGTTGCTGTTTGAGGTTGGCTGTCTCCTATATAATTAACATCAGTCTGGAGATCCTCTTTAGACAATGTGCTTCATAAAGGTCATGTACAATACAAGATACATAGTTCTGTCTTTTTTTGTTTCACAAAGGATCCTGTTTCGCAGACTACATGTTACCCATTGAAGGCGGTGCCTATCGCAGTGGCAGATGAGGAGGGCTCAGAGTCTGAGGAGGATGAGCTCAAACCTAGAGGTATCATGTATACTGAAAGCTGGTACATGCTACATACCATTTCAAATCTTTTAATAAATGCTAAAAGCAAGAGCACCAACCTAGACACTTTCATGTTTTTAAAAAGTGTAATTGTTTTCTGTTATGGCAAAAAAATTTCAGCTTCATTACTCCAGTCATCATTGTCACAGGGATCTTCAGAATTAATATTAAAAATATAGTTAAAAGTCCAAACAAACACTGTTTATTTGAAATAAATGTAATTTTTAATATTTAAAAGTATCATTCCTGCATGAAAATATGATTACCCAAATGGAAACTAAACAAACAAAATGACTGATGTCACACCTTCGTCTAAGTATTAACAGTTGTTTTCATAGATTAACTTTTGTTTATTTTTTTACAAACAGGTTGGACTTTTATGTTTTTTTTTATAACATCTTAAAGGAGAGAATTAAATGATAATTATTATTAATCTGTAAAAAAAAAACCTTAATGGAAGCAGTTAAGCTTGAATTATAATTTTAAAATACATTAACATAAAGCTGACTTGAATTCACCTAAGCTGGACAGCACTGTAAGTATAGTGTGTCCACTGTCATATAGGATTGATGTAAATCCAACAAGTCTCTTTTTTAAAATTTAATGACATTGAAATAGGACCCAAATCCCAGAGATTTTGAGACCCACCACAACTTGACATAGGAGTTCGCCTTTTCACCACCCACCGAATTGATTGACAGGCACAATGTTTCTATAATAGCATGTATACACATGTCCATAAAAAGATTTTTTGCAAATAAACTGGGAGTAAAACATGTCACAACTCTCTGTGATTTTTTTTTTTAGTTTAGGGCTGTTTTAAAGCATAGCATGTTTGTAGTAAAGACAGGAAAATCACTGTGTAGTCTGCTATAAACCGCTATAATCACCACTGCCGCATTGTGTTAGTAAATGGCCTTTATATGTGTGTGTGTGCCGTGCAAATGGCATTTGTGTGAGACTCTTCATTTCAGAAAGGCTTAAATAAACCACCACAAATATATCAAATAAACCTACTTGGTATTTTTGACTAATGAGCTGTATTTCAGCTTCATCTGTGCCTGTCTCTATCACTGACTGCTGTTTATCTGACATAACGCATGATGAAAAGCAGACACGCACATGGGAACGGTAGGCGGGGAGAAGCAGGTCATTTGCACTTAAATCCACAGGCTACAAAAACAGCCACATTGTATTTAGACACCAACATGGACAGATTCTGGAGGCTATAATAAATAATCTATTTTGAGCTGAAACTTTACAGACACATTCTGGAGACACCAAAGGCTTATCTTACATCTTGTAAAAAGGGTAAAATATGTGCCCTTTATATTGTATCTTATTGTCAGTTGTTGTGTTTTCAACAGCTAAAATTCAACACTTCAAAATTAGTCATAGTAAGCTTCATTGTGTTATTTTCTAATACTCTTTACCCTTCCCAGGTCTGACAGGGATGAAAAACATTGGAAACTCTTGTTATATGAATGCTGCACTGCAGGCCTTGTCCAACTGGTAGGCTTAAAATCCTGACACAGATTTGTTGAGTGACTGATTGCACTGATTGATTTCTCAGGTCTGCGCGTCCAGCTCTTTAACTGACTTTGGGTTTCCTGCTTCTTTATATTCATTTCCCAGTCCTCCTTTGACTCAGTTTTTCCAGGATTGCAGTGGATTGGTGCGTACGGATAAGAAGCCGGCATTGTGTAAAAGCTATCAGAAGCTTATCTCTGAACTCTGGCACAAGAAACGGTAACAAGCACTGACTTGCCAGACCGTTAACGTAGATCTGGCCTGTTCTGTTGAACTTAATCTATTGATTTTGGTCATAATTAAGTATCCATATTGTTGCCTATGGCCTTTCTTTTTCTCTCTTTTGTGCTTTCTTTGGCCCTCTGTCCAGGCCGAGTTATGTTGTGCCAACTACTCTGTTTCATGGAATCAAACTGGTGAACCCCATGTTTCGTGGCTATGCTCAACAGGTATAAAGCAGTGTTATTTTAGTAAAGTCTGTATACTACTATTTCATGCAGTGCTTCCCACAGGTAAACTTTTATTGAGCTTACCGCTCAAGTATGTTAATTTTTTTTTGTATCCGCCCAATAGAACGAAACATCTACAATCGATTAAGTAGTGGAAAATCTTCTCTCGTTTACCCGTTTCATGCTCGATCTGTGTGGTTAAGACCTGTCGACCCTTTCACAGACAGTTTCACATTCTATAAACACCCACAGAGATGCGCTTTTTTTGTCAGACTGGGGTTTCTAAATCTGAAATTACCGGGATTTGACTTTTGCTTTCGCTTTCTAAAGCTGTCATCAATTATGCACACAGAGAGTGAGAGAAACATTAAATAATTATTTTTTAATTCTATATACTCAGAGAGGAAAGGAATTGAAAGAAATTATGAGTTCTAAATTAGCTGAAAAATATATGTACATTATTAGTATGGGTAATCAATTATTTTGCCCTATTTAAATTATCTAGATGTTTTATTCTTGTAATTATTATATTTTTTTGAGATATTGTCTACTTTTATTCCTTTTTTCTGTCATTTATTTCTAATTTGTTTTATATTTTATTAATTTGATGCCAATAAAGCAAACTGAACTTAATTGTGAGATAGAGTAAAGCAGATTTTATCTGTCAGTGGGTGTACATGGCTCCTGAATAGCCTAAAATTAAAAGAAATAGTGAATTTCTTTTTTTTTTTTTTTTTTTTGTACCTTAACCCATTGTAAGGAAACTGTTTCTTAATAAATTTAATTATTGTTAACAATTAAATTGTTATGTTTGTTGCATATAGTTAACTATTTATCTGATGTGGGTAAAAGGTGTGTTTCAATCCAGCTAGCACCGCAAATATATTTCAAACCCGTGGGAAGCACTGTGGTGTATTCTAGGGCTTCACAATATTGGAAAAAATACATAGCAATATTTAGCATTTTTGATATATATTTTTGATATATATATATATATATATATCATATATATGATATATATATAATATAATGATGATATATATATATAAGACCATTGATATATGTAGACCACTTCATGTTTTCAAGTCATTGATAATCCCTACATGACACTGCACATTCTGCCAATAGTGGATGTGCAATCTGAAAACAATCTGAAACAATACATTGTAGTAGCCCTAGTGTGTTTTATTTAAATTCCACTATAGTGTGTAGTGTGTTTTATTTAAATTCCACTATAGTGTGTAGTGTTTATTTATTTCATTTTTATTTTAATGTTTTTTTTCTGTTATATTATGGTAATATTATAGTATGTTATATTATTTGCAATTCTGTCAGGTCTTTTATTTAGGCTTAAAAAATTTTAGATTTAGATCTCTTTTATTTCAGTATTTTAGTGCTATTTGATTTTTTATTTATCAGTAAGTTATGCACTCACCAGCCACTTAATTAGGTACACTTTAATAGTACCAGATTGGACCACCTTTTGCCGTCACAACTGTCTTTATCTTATCTTTATCGTGGCATAGATTCAACTTGGAACTGGAAATATTCCTCACAGATTTTGCTCCATATTGACATGATAGCATCATGCAGTTGCAGTTGCTGCATTTTTCAGCTGCACATCCATGATGTGAATCTCCTGTTCCACCACATCCCAAAGGTGCTCTATTGAAGTTCTGGTGACTGTGGAGGCCATTTGAGTACAGTAAACTCATTGTCAGGTTTAAGAAACCACTCTGCGATGATTCGCACTTTATGACATGGCATGTTATCCTGCTGGAAGTAGACTTCAGAAGATGGATGTGGTCATAAAGGTGTGGTCATAAAGGGATGGACATGGTCAGCAACAATACACTGGTAGGCTGTCTGTGGCGTTGACACAATTTTCAATTGGTACTAATGGACCCAAAGTGTGCCAAGAAAATATCCCCTGCACCATTACACTACTACCACCAGCCTGAACCGTTGATACAAGGCAGGATTGATCAATGCTTTCATGTTGTTGACGCCAAATTCTGGCATCATCAACCATGTCAAAATACCTTAAAACACCTTTCTTCCCCATTCTGATGCTCATTTTGAACTGCAGCAAATTGTATTGACCACGTCTAAATGTCTAAATGCAGTGAGTTGCTGTCATGTGATCGACTGATTAGACATTTGTGCTAATGAGCAGTTGGACAGGTGTACCCCAATAAAGTGGCCAGTGAGTGTATTTTATTCAAAGATTTATTTCTTTTATTTATATATTTGAAAAACATTTTTACCTGTATTGTTAAAGGAGATTTGTGAGACAAGCTAGAGTATTTGGGAGTGAGGGTTATCAGGAAAAGTCTGCAAGCTTTAATTCGAACTTTAATTGCCCAGAATGCAGTGGTGCTACATGTCAGCATACCACCCACAAGGCTACCGGTGCCAGACAACATTGATTTTGAATAGTTTTGTTAAACAGTAATAACACTCATATGATGTCTACTGTGCATTTTTTAAAGACTATTATTTTCAAAGAAATAATATAAACCTCATTGACATTTTGTTTCTTGCCTGTTTCTAGGACACTCAGGAGTTTTTGCGATGTCTGATGGACCAGCTTCACGAGGAGCTGAAGGAGCCTTTGTTTGACTGCAGCGGTGGCATCTCTGAAGTCGAGCCTGACCTCAGTCTGGACAGCTGTAATCTTGTGGACGGAGACCGAAGCCCCTCTGAAGACGAATTCCTGTCGTGTGACTCTGGATCAGGAAGCGAAAGGGGAGATGGAGAGCGTGCAGGAGGAGAAGCAGAGCTCCTCATTCAAGATGAATGTGTGGCAGTGAGAGGAACCGGAGGCATCTCGGAGAAAGAGAGGCTGAAGGAGAGAAGAGGAGAAGAGAGGACACGTGAAATGGATGAGGATGCAGATGTGGACACAGCTGCACAAGACGGACAGGCTGAGAGAGAAACTGAAACAGCGACACCAGCCACAGCTGTGCCGGCACCAGGAAACACAGGTGTGATGGCCTGAAAATTGAGATTTTTTCATGTTTTTATTGTTGAAAGAGTTATGCTTACCATTTATTAAAAATATAATGTGAAATATTAATACTGCAAGCAGCACAGTGTGTAGCACAATCACCTCACAGCAAGAAGGTTGCTGTTTCGAGCCTCGGCTGGGACAGTTGGCATTTCTGTGTGGAGTTTGCATGTTCTCCCCGTGTTTGCATGGGTTTCCTCCGGGTGCTCCGGTTTCCACCCCAAAAGTCCAAAGACATGCACTATAGGTGAATTGGGTAAGCTAAATTGTCCGTAGTGTATGTCTGTGAATGAACGTGTATGGATGTTTCCCAGTGATGGGTTGCAGCTGGAAGGGCGTCTGCTGCAAGGAAAGAAGCTGAGTTTTCAGCAGCCATTTTGCCAATTTTCAGTGTCACGTGATCAGTAATTATTCTATTATGCATTATATGTTTCTTCTTCTAACCCTAGGGCTGGCAAATTAATCAAAGAGGATTTTTATGTGCATTTTTTCAGTGAAGACGGTTCTAGTAAAACTTCTATTCATCAGATGGAGCGGCATCTACTACACACAGCTGTAGTACACTGAGAAGCTACACAAAAATTTGTAAAAAAATTTATTTGATTTGCTTGGTCGATAATGACATTAAAATCATTGTTCTGTAATATTAACAGCTGTTGAGTTGCTTCTCAGTGAACTATAGCTCTGTTTAGTAAATAATAAAAGTAACATATAATAACATGCAACAAATAATAACATGGTTTAACTCCAAACTCGCAATAACTTCAGTGTTTGAAATGAATCTTGCTGTGAGATGATTCTATAGTTGTGCGTTTATTAGTCACACTGAATCAATCGCATCAGTTAAATAATCTGTGCCCACTTTTTCAAAAGCAGTCCAGTGGGATTTTGGATCACAGATTGGATCAAGATTTGGAAATGGGTTTTTTAAAGTAACAGTGGGATTTTTAATTAAGATCAGATCATGTATTGAAATCTTACATTTGATTTGGATAAAACCTGCCCTTTGGGTTATTCAAAACTTTAAACTTAGATTGGGATCTATTTGATAAAAAAAAAAAAAAAACGTGATAATCCTCATCCTATCTGAAGTGTGGATTTAGTTTTTGAACCTAAATGTTTTTTTTTTTTTTTTTTTTTTTTAAGTTGTCACATACTTAATGGTTACTAATGATATATAAATTCTTTCATATTTGAAACCTTTATGAAGCATGTCACATCTAATGAGATATGACAACGACAAAACAATATTGAATGTATTAGAACAAGCTAAAAAAAAACACTCCTTTAAAACAATGACTTTTTGTGGCCACTGATATTTTGCCTACCGCTTGTTCTCTGCAAAGCCAGTAGGCTACACTGTTTGAAATGTAGATCACAGTGGTCCAACCCAATGTTCCCTTAAAAAACTGTCATAAAAGTTAGATAGATCAGTTAATCCTGGATAGCAAAACATGGAATTTTCAAATCTGGACCATTTTGATCAAGATAATTTTTTTTTTTAAAACTGGGCCTTGTTCATTCAGCAACCGCTAAGGTTATTTCCTGGCTTTCTTAATAGGTGTTTGGAGTTTCTGCACAAGAGCGCCCTCTGGCCTTCAGAGGAGATTTATGACAGATGTGCATGACAGTCATAGCTTTGCTCAATCACATTAGCAATCTCATTTAATATAGGCCACCCCTATCTATAATTCATTTGTAAATGATTGAAAATGTAAAGTGGCAAAGGAATCATGCCAAGCATAAATGAAAGATACTTCTCAAATATTATTTTTGAAACCAGGCATGACAACACTCTATTTACTAGATGCTTAATTTGTCACACTAGTTTGACTCAATTGTATCAGTTGAATCACGATGAACCCACTAACATGTGACAACTGACAAGCCTCCCTCATCATAACATTTTTTGTTATTATGTGAAATTTGAAAGACTTTAAATGTCTTTAAAAATGTCTCTCCATGAGTTTTAAGTTATTTATTATATATCAAGTAAAAAAATACAAATACAATTTTAAAAATGTACTTATATTAAGTGGGGTTTTATCAAATTGCCAAAAGTATATGTGGTAAGCAAAAAAAAAACTTCTTATCGCGTTTGATACTGCTGTGAAGTTTATTATATTATAATATTATTGGTGAGGAACTGGGATGCAGTTTTCAAATTTTAAAAGAACAGCATTTATTTCTAATACAAGATTTTAACAATGTGAAAGTCGTCACTGCTGCAAAAAAAGTGTTCATTTCTTTTTAATATTCTTGATTTATACAATCTTACAAACAGCAGAGCAAGTTTGCATTGGTAATTACATTTTTGGATGTGAAAACAAATCTTTGCGCTTCCTGATCCCTCTGTTTTTCTTGCAGAACCTGATAATGAAGCTTCCATGCACTGTCCATCCTCTCGCCCCTGTAGCCCCGCTCACAGTGTACAGGAGCTTCACTCCAGACTCTCTAGTAACCCACCAAGATCCAGCCCTCTCAGAACTGGACCCACGTATACTTTCAAGAAAGGTTTGCTTGCTTATTTAATTTACACATATACAGCATTGATGTAATATTTTCCTTTGTACTAATTAACCATTATAATTGTTTCTCTAATAGCTCAGATGCTACTGAGCACCAAGAAGAAGAAGCAGTCCCGTTTCCGTAGTGTTATTTCCGATATCTTTGATGGATCCATTCTGAGTCTTGTTCAGTGTTTGACATGTGACCGGGTGAGCAGGGATGCCAGCATCTTTTATTTTGTCTCTAGAGGGCGCCAAGCATCAAATTACATTTAAAACACTTCAAAATGCACTACTACAGTTTATTCGCGACTGTGCTCATTTATAAACCATGTAGTTCATTTAAGGTCACATCTAGAAAAAAACTGCAATGCATAGCAGCACAGAACAGCCCTTATATACATGAATCATATTGAGGATATTTTTCAAAAATACAGTATGTTTAAGACTGCAGACACACAAAAGGTTTAACAAAACTATTTGGCTTTGCAGGTTTCGACAACTGTGGAGACGTTTCAGGACCTTTCTTTGCCTATACCCGGTAAAGAAGATTTGGCTAAGCTTCATTCCTCCATTCACCAGAGTGCACCTGTTAAAGCTGGTGTCTGCACTGATGGCTATGCTGCACAGGGCTGGATCTCCTACATCATGGACTCTATACGAAGGTATAGTAAGACAGTGATTGGACAGAGAATGAACAAAGAGTCAAAAAAGGATTTGACAAAAAGAAAAATTCACCCAAAAATGAAAATTTAGTTTTTAATTTTTCACATTTATGTTGACCTTCTTAGACCTTTATTCATCTTCAGAACAGAAATGAATCTCTTTAGCTCTTTGACCCTCCATGGACAGCAACAGTCCTAAGATGAATCTAAAACGTCAGAACATTTGGTAACGCTTTAGATTAGGTCACAATCACAGCATTAAAGGGTCATGACACCCCCACTTTCGGGTCCACCTCAGAATTTTTTCAAAAGATGCATCATAGTGGGCGTGGAGCTCCACGAGCAAAGGGCAGGAGTGGGCGTGGCCAGAAGAGCAGGGGAGAAGGAGGGGAGCGAGCAACTGTCAGTCAGTTTACAAAATGAGACACAAACCATGCGGAGACCCATGATTTTATAGTTTACAAAGTTAAAATGCAAAGAAATTAACAGTAATTTATTGCCCTGCTACATTTAGAATTTCATATACACATAACCACAATTTATATCATTATAAAGTTCATATAAACCCTAAATGAGGACTTTTATCTCAATCCTCGGATCTGAATGCAGACTCAGTGCAGCAGGTCTCTGCCCTGTCTATTTTAACCATTAGCCCTGCTGTTAATTAAGGATTTAGTCGAACACAGCAGCACGGCGATGTGTCTAAATGTGAACGAACTTCTGATAAAAGACAACGCCCACCATTCTCCAATTCTAGTACTGCTTTCTTGACAAAAATGCTTGGGTGAGACGCGTGTGTGCACAACTTTGCTGTATTGGCCCTGACAGGATCGCGGGGAAAAACATGCAACAAACCCCGTGGATCAAGGAAACAAACACATACGACCCTTCGTGAACGACTAAATACTGCTTGCCGTGGGTCCGCGGACTTGTCTCACCCAGTCATTTACGTAGGATTACACCGCTGAGCTTGGCACTGGCAGCTAGGTCTGCTTTGCCTTTGGAAAGCACATGCTCTCATAAATATTTAAGAAGCCTGCTCTTCTCATAGGATATGAAAACTCCGCTATGAATAATAATGAGAAACCGATGCGTCCTCTTTGCACTTTCAGTTCTGCGCTACGTCGCCGATTTCGATCCCACCCCAAAAATCATTTTAAACCCGGAAGCTGAAATTAGTTGACAAAAGCTCAAAATTACCCAGTTTTCCCCACATTTAAAGCTAACAGGTGCTAACATTTTCTTAACCGATGCTCAAAACAAACACAAATCTATTAAAATCTCAAAAAAAGTACTCGAGGGTTTCGTGAACCTTTAACAAACCATTAACTAACACTACTGACTTAATAAACTACTAATTGGCTGTTTATTGATAGTTATTAATAGTTGTATGCTGGCAGCAATCTCTCTGCTTCTCTCACATGGTTGCCCACTAACGCTAAGCAGAGCTGCACCTGGTGGGAGACCACATGGGAAAGCTAGGTTGCTGCTGGAGGTGGTGTTAGTGAGGCCAGTAGGGGACACTCAATCTATGGTCTGTGCGGGTCCTAACGCCCCAGTATAGTGAAGGGGACTCTACACTGCTCAGTGAGTGCCATCTTTCAGATGAGATGTTAAACCGAGGTCTGGCTCTCTGAGGTCATGAAAAGTACCCCGGATGTTCTTCGAAAAAGACTAAGGGTTTAATCCCGGCATCCTGGCCACAATTTGCCCATGGGCCTTTGTTAATTATGGCCTCCTAACCATCCCCATATCATAATTGGCTTCATCACTCTGATCTCTGATCTACCAATCAGCTTGTGTGTGGTGTGGGGTCTGGCGCAATATGGCTGCCGTGAATGTTGCAGCCTGGTGGTGGATGAGGAGATTCCCCCCAATGCGTAAAGCACTTTGAGTAACATAAAAAGCTCTAGATAAATGTAAGGAATTATTATTATTTATTAGTAATGTAAAAGTTGGGTTTAGGTTTTGCGTAGAATTTAGGATGCATAATACGATCATACTTTCTAACTACTAATCAACAGTTAATATCTTTATGATAGGCAGGTAATAAGCCAGTAGTTAATAGCATAAATTCTGACCAAAACTAAAATGTTAGTAATCTTTTTATGTGACTTCAGTGGTTCTACTATAATCATGCAAAGTAATCAATCAGTAAAAATGGCTTTGTTTACCTATGTCTGTGTGTGTGCGTTTAGTATGGGCAATTTGACTCTAATGGCAAATACATTGTATTGCCCGTAGTAAATGTGCCCCCTGACAACGTTACAAGGAAGAAAAAACATAGGTGAACTAAGACAATTAGAATTCTTGGAGCTGCATATGATTACAATTGAACCACTGTTGTCACATGGAATATTTAGATGTTTTTGGTTCTATATCTGGACTTTGATCAACTCAGGATGGTTTCTGTCTGTGGAGGATGAGAGAGCTCTCAGATTTTATCTGAAAAAATCTAAATTTGTGTTCTGAAGATAAAGGAGGCTCTCAGGGCTTGAGGTTAAGTGATGTGAAGGAGATTTTTTTTTTTTTTTTTGGGTAAGCTAGCATTTTAATCAGTTAAGGCCCTGTTGCACCAAGCTGATTTTTAGACCAACGTCAGGCTGTTTTTGAACATTCATTCATTGAACATTAGTCAATGTCTGTTATGTGTTTCAGATTAAAGCTTTTATTCAAAGTCATCTTGGAGTTTTTTGGATAATTGAGCACATAAAATATGTGTCTGTTGCCAATGGTGCAGTAAATATAAGAACTCTGACTGGCAGTTAACCAAATGAGTGAATTAGAATAATATCAAAAGTGCTGAAAGCAACAACAACAAAATCACAATGACAGACATGAGACTTCATTTTATCATCTCATCTAAGTATTTCAATACGGGTATATATAATGATATGATCCGCCTGGATTGAAGACAGTGAATAATCAGAGTATTTTATTAATCCCAGTAGGAAATTGCTTTTGTTTCAGGTGCTACTTGGAAATGGATAAGAAAGATCCGATTAAAGCTAAGGATTAAGATAAAAAAGACATCCAATATGGACAAGCTTTACAGTATACATATGTAATACACTTTGAATACATATTTCATTATTCAAAGCTTATTTTGACCTCAGAGGGAGGAGTTGTAAAGTTTAATTGCCACATGAATGAATGGCTTCATAGTTGTATAACCAAAGTTATATTCAAAATGGTAAGTAACCACAGCTTTGTTTATGTGCAGTGCTACAAAAGACAATAAATAATAATGAAAGTAGCAGTCATTCATTTTTTAAGTGACCCCAAACGTTTGAACCGTAGTGTATCATAACCAAAACCTGAATTTAAGACAATGTAAGTGCACTGGAAACAAACATTGATCTCTATATGTGATTGTATCTGTGTGTTTACGCAGGTTTGTAGTGTCCTGTATTCCAAGTTGGTTTTGGGGCCCCATGGTAACGCTAGAGGACTGTCTGGCAGCTTTCTTTGCTGCTGATGAGCTGAAAGGCAAGTACACTGCGTCTAACATAAAAAAAAATGTTGTTCTGCTTGGCATTGATGTTCATTTTCTTTCCAAACAGGAGACAACATGTATAGCTGTGAACGGTGTAAAAAGTAAGAGTTTTTTTTTTTTTTTAGATCAATTTGTGAAAATATAGTGGATGTTGGATATTTACTATAGTTTAATGAATTTATAGACAAAACTGTACTGTAGCTGTTGGGTTAACATGTGTATATGATGATGAATGACTTGCTCTGTTTTTCAGATTAAGAAATGGTGTGAAATATTGTAAAGTTCTGCGTCTACCAGAAGTAAGTATCCTGCTTTGTTATGTTCTGCTCTTAATATTGCAATTTACATTGTTAGTGAGTGTGATCTCTTTTGCAGATATTGTGCATTCACCTGAAGCGCTTCAGACATGAAGTCATGTACTCGTTCAAAATAAATAGCCACGTGTCATTCCCATTGGAGGGTTTGGATCTCAAACCGTTCCTGGCTAAGGAAAGCCCGTCCCAGATTACTACCTATGACCTGCTGTCTGTCATCTGTCATCACGGCACTGCTGGAAGTAAGTTATTTCTTCAAAATATTACAAAGTATAATAGGAACTTTGAAGAACATGGACTGACATTCATTCATCGATTTCTGTTGGGCAGGTGGGCATTACATAGCGTACTGCCAGAATGTGATCAATGGACAGTGGTACGAGTTTGACGATCAGTATGTAACAGAAGTGCACGAGACAGTAGTCCAGAATGCTGAAGCATATGTCCTATTCTACAGGTACACTTGTTTTTTACTGATTTTAATGTAATGTTGTGAAAACTGAAAGTAGTTTTAGGCATGAATTAATTCTTTTCTTTAAATGCATCTAATTGATCTTAGTGTAAGCAACTTTTTTTATACACATCGTTTTGGTGAATGACGTCATCAATTTAGTCACAATTTTGTATTCAGATCTTTTTCTATTCCTTTAACATTTGATAGATAACACCAAATAAGCATATTTGTTTTTCAAGTAATCATTCAATATGAAAGAAAAGACCTGACTTTAATCTAAAAACTAAAATCTGAATTTTTGCTACACCTGCCACAAGCTGATGTCTTCAGAAATGACACACACAACTGTACCTGCATTATTTGTATAATAACATGTAGAACAAATTGGGGAAACGCATAAGATTGCTAATTTTTATAATTATAATTATTTTCTATACAAATAACAAAATAATTTAGTTTCAGTCGTTTTAAAAGGTAAACAATACAGTTTTTATTTAATTGGGGAAATAAAAGGAAATGTCTCTGTTCTCTATTAAATGAGATATTATCTATCTCAATATGGGAGATGTTTGCATTTTTCTGGTACTAGCAATTAAAACTCGCTGTCTCATATAAGCAGCATATAAACATTGATAGACACATACTGATTGCAGCAATAAATACTTGAAATATTAATTTGTCATTCAGGAAGAGCAGTGAAGAATCTGTGAGAGAAAGACAAAGGGTTGTCGCTCTGGCTAATTTGAAGGAGCCCAGTTTGCTGCAGTTCTACATCTCCAGAGAGTGGCTCAACAAATTCAACACATTCACTGAGCCCGGACCCATCACCAATCACACTTTCCTTTGTCAGCACGGAGGTACTCTCTAATACGCTCATGCCTCAAGCTCATCTAAAACAATATTCTTAAAAAATGGAGCTAGTAACTGTAGTAAGCAGATTTTATAAGTATTTTGCTTAAAAATAAGCAACAATTTTTTTTTCTTCTTTCTTTTTTTTTTTTTTTTTTTTTGACTATTTTTGTTGCCATTTTAACTGCTTTCTAATAAGCTTTAAAACATATACGGATTTCATCCTCAAGGCATGTTTTTTTCAAAGCTAGTGGCATACTCAACAATGTCAGCTTGTACTTTATCAAAACAGCAGTTATAAGATTACTGTAGTCAATACATTATGCACAGCCCTGTCTGAACCTTTTTAGTTGCTTGACATGTAGATGTAGAGTGTAATTCTAAAAATGTTGATTTTATTTACATGTAAAGACTTGACCGTCATTATGTGCACATCTTCTCAAGATGTTCTTCAGTTTGAAAATGTGCCAATTTATCTAGGATTTCTGAAGGTTTTTTGCTTCTCTAGAGCTTCATGTGATGACTCAGATGCAAACTATTAATTGCATTAAGCCACTTAATCTAATTATTAACTTATAATTGTTGTATGAGAGACAACTTCACAAATTATAACTAACAAATTATTATTTGAAACTAACAAATCAGATGTTTTTATCTCACTTTACCCACTTTAATAGTGTATTTGCCTTTAAAAATGTAATGTGATGTGTATTTATATAGCGCATGTATCGTGTATGGCCATACACCCAAAGCACTTCACAATCAGGAGGGGAGTCTTTCCACAACACCACCACCAGTGTGCAGCATCCACAATACAACTGTGGATGGGGATGATTGTGAGGCCATAATGATTAAGGGCCAAGAGGGTATTTGGCCAGGACACCAAGGTTACACCCTTACTCTTTACAAGAAGTGCCATGGGATTTTAATGACCACAGAGAATCAGGACCTCGGTTTATCATCTTATCTGAAAGACAGCGCCCACTGACAGTATAGTGTCCCCTTCACTTTTACTGAGGCATTAGGACTCAAAGGTTGGCCTCACTAACACCACTTCCAACAGCAACCTAGTTTTCCCATGTGGTCTCCCATCCAGGTACTGACCAGGCTCAGCCCTGCTTAGCTTCAGTGAGTAAATGGTCTTGGGCTGCAGGGTGATATGGCTGTGGCATATTTGCATATTAACATATTTCCCAAATTAAACACGCACTCACAGACAGGCAAACAAAGCGATTTTTACAGATTTTTTGGCATTCAAAAGGGTTCCTTGTGCTTCATATGATTACAGTTAAACCACTGAAGTCACATGAAATGTTGTGATGTGGAAGTTATGACAAAGGGCCCTATCACACCAGGCACAATAAGGTGCAAGACCTGTTTGGCGCAATTTGCTGCTATTTTAATTTAGTAAATTAATTTGCGCCACTTTGTGGACTTGTATGTGTACTTGTCTAGAAAGGAGGTGTGTTAAGGTGCATTGTTTGCACGTTGCTTTTTTGAGGAACTAAAATAGACTGTGCCAACTGAAAGCTGCTCTAAAGTCCAGCGCAGAGCACCTTAAGCACGTTGCCTACACATTGCTTAATACACACAGAATGTACAGCAATATGCAAATATCTTAGCAAATGAAAAAGAATTAAAGGATTAAAATTGCTACAAAAATTATTATTTTCTACATCAATATAAAAACCACTGCCTCAATGCCTTCTTCATCTCAGGGGGCTTTTTCAGTTTATTCAGGACAATTTGCTTTTGTATAATGTTATTATTAGTATAAGTATTATTGATTATATGCATGTTTAAATTTCTTTTAATAAAAACAAGCTCAGATTTGTTTTTTGACCACACTTACTATCCTTTTATTCATTTCTTTTATTCATTTGTAGAAATTAGAACTGATTTTAGAAATAGTTTTAAAACAAATCCTGGCTCTTAACAAATGAAATTTAAATATGTAGGCTAATGTATGTCTTCAGTGGAGTCCTTACAACACCCTTTTGTTATCCACGAAAGTAAAGGAGTAAAGTAAAGAGTAGAATTAAAGTAAAGAGGGTGAATCAAGGAGGTGTTCAGTTTTTCCACTTACAAAGTCTGCCATGTAAATAGCAAGTGGGCCATGGTGTGACACAACTGAAGGGGAGGGCTAGACTCTGATTGGTTTAATGCACGTTGTGCTCAAAACACACCCATAACTCATTAAGAGAATAAGCATAAACCTGTTAGCCTATGCACCGTGGCGCATACCCCTTTTTTCGTTCTTAAAATAGCAAAGGTGGATTTGGACTTAATACTTTTGCACCATGCGATTTAAACTTTGAGCCTAGATGGTTTAAATAGAGCTGAAACAGTTTGTTCATAGTTTGCACATATATGTATGCATATATATTATTATTATTATTTTTTTTCACTTGCTGTAGCAGTGGAAACTAAAATGATATATTAATTTCTACAGGAATTCCTCCTACGAAGTACCATTATGTGGATGATCTGGTTGTGATCCTTCCTCAAAATGTGTGGGAATATCTCTACAACAGGTGAGTCATACATAGCAATGCACAAAATTGACCTTTTGGACGTCCTCAACATTTATTACCTTCTAGAACATGGGATGATACTTAAACATTTGATCTTGTCAAGTCAACAAAACCAATGCTGAACTAAAAAAAATGTGAATGGTTTTCTGCCTGATGTCATGTGCGAGGAACTCCTCTTGCCGTGCAATATAAACAATGTTGAGTTATGTGTTTGCTCTTTTCACTGGCCATACTTGTGTAATTCCTCATGTTTTGAAATATTTTTCACAGGTTTGGAGGTGGCCCGGCTGTGAATCACTTATATGTGTGTGCAATTTGCCAAGTGGAGATCGAGACCTTAGCCAAACGACGGAAACTGGAGATAGACACCTTCATTAAGGTGAACAAATGACCATTACAGAATTACAGAACTCCTGTCTGTGAGTGTGATGTTTAAAATAGGAAGTGGCATTCATGAACAGCCAAATGCCTCAGACTTTAACATGTCGCCTTGTTTTTGAGCATCAAAATTATATTGTGAGAACACACTACATGGGTTTAACTGCTGTCTTGGCCTAAAGGATGATTTATACTTTTGCCTGGGTCTGCAGCGAGACCTTCCATTGACTGCCGTGAGTTTTGCCTCGAGGCTTTCATGCTTGATGCTATTGCCATTGTACTATTTTTTAATAACAACAGGGGAGGGACTTGGAATAACTGCCCTGACGACAGTGGCGAAAAAATAGTCAGGGATTGGAGTTGTTAAATGAATTAATTGTATATAAAATGAAATTGTTTTCAGTAACTTAAATAAAATTATTAGTAAATTAGTAACTTGTGCTGCATTTTATACATCCAAGCTAACTGCTTAATTAATGCAAAACCTTTGCACAATAAATATAAAAATAATTTACTTAAAAAATCTTGGGCAACCTGTGCACAAAATACATGCATTGTTTCTCTTTAAAGCTTCAAAAGAAGTTGTTTTGGATTTCTAAATATTCGCATATTCACACAAGTTGGCCAGACTCAGCTATAAGTGGTTCATCTTTGAATGTGGAGCCGTGTGCGAAGTTACGAAAAATGTTGCACATACCAAGTGCCAAAATGATGTTGTGCGCACTCAAAGTCAACTTCAGCCAACACTGTGATGGTGTCACATTGCACCCAATCGATGCCATGTGCACCCAATCGAATTTGCGGACACATCGTATATAAACCAGCATTTAGTCCTGCATAAAATTTACTTTTAGTATTAATCATATTTATTGAACCTTTTTCCTGTTTTTGTTTGATCAAGTTTTATTCAACGATATCTCAAATTAGTTGTTAGTAAACAAAAACTAGTCACTTTTTTTAGTTCTACATAATAGAATTGCTTTACTCAAAATAATGATTGTGACAATTGTTATTTCAACTTGTTTTATTTATAATTTCAGCCAATTATAACGCTTTCACCTTTGAGCAAAAATTAAGAGAATGCCAATTTTTTCAAAAACAGTACAGTCAATATCCATTTTCTATTAGGGCATACGCACACTATCTACAGTTGCCTTTAATCGGGCCGAAGCACGTTTGTCCCTCCTCCCGTCTCCCCTGACGGCCCGCACTCACATTAAATTCGGGCCTGGGCACGCTTGCATCATCGATGATGCGCTGTTCAGAAGTGCTCTTGCTCAGCACAGTGGAGATTTCTTAAGTTATATTGTTTTAGTTGTTTGGGATGCAGTGAAACACAGTCAAATATTTTGCCGAACAGATCCGCCACTTTTGACGCTCATAAATAATCATGAAGTCCTCGTGCTGCAGGAATTAGGAGGTTTGCTGAAAGTGCAGCTGTGGTGCAGTGAGGGGTTTGCGTCTTTAATAAACTCCGACAGTTTGCATTCATTGAAGAGTAAGAATGATTAATAAACACATCTCATGTCTCGTCTTCAGTTTCGGGCTCGGGCGCACTTTACACTCACACTACAAGCCATATTCTACTAGCTGCCATATTGCAGAGATTAAAGGATAAGCTTACCCTTTTAATTCTCACCCTCACGTTGTTCTATAGTCCTTTGTTCAATTTCAGAACACAAATTAAGACATTTTATATGAAATCCGAGAGCCTCATCCTTCATATATAGCAATGGTTTTGAGATGTTCAGAAAAGGAACCCAAAACATAGGGAAAGCAGTCTATGCGACGTCAAGGGTTAAACTGTAATCATACAAAGCTCCAAGAACAGTTCTGTACACCAAAAAATACTGTAAATACAACTTTGTTCACCTATATTTTCTCTTACATGTCAGGTCAGGGTGCACATTCATTGCAATATGATGCTTGAATGTCACACTGCTGACAATAGCCTTAGTAATGCCTGTAGTAAGTGCCCTGACCTGATGCAGGAGAGAAGATACAGGCGAACAAAGTTGTTTTAACATTTTTATTTGGTATTTGAAATAAATAAAGTGTTCTTGGAGCTTCATATGATTACAGTCTAACCATTAAAGTCAAAAAGAATGTTTTGAAAATGTTTTTGGTTCCTATTCTTAACATCTATTCTTCCATCTGCTGTCTATGGAAGGTTAGAGAGGTCAAGGCTTTCATCTAAAATATCTTCATTCGTCTCCGGTAATTACCATAAAAGTAGGGTGCAACTAATGATAGAATTTATATTTTTGAATGAACTAATCCTTTAAGTTAAACACCCTATCCTTTGATGAAAAAAGCTAATTTGAGGGGATTTAAACCCAATGCATCTGGCATCAGCATTTAGTCTTCTCTCTTTGACAAAACAAAGGAACGTTTATTTTAAGAAACATTCATTTTAGCCTTGTCTTTTTTGTCAACAATATTAAATTCCCATTTAATAATAATGATTTAACCGTGAAAAAAATATATCGATACATATTTTTCACCATATAATCAGTTGAACAAAATGAACAGCACTTCTAAGTTATTTACTCAGATCCACAGCATTTTTAAATAACCAACTGGAAACCTCACTTGGCAGGAGCATAATGTTCTTGGAAGTGTCTGCTGCTTGTAAAGCCAGAGAACTGATGAAACACAGACTGCATACTTTACTGATCAGGAGTGTGATCTGCACTGGAATCTTATCAGGGTGCAGTATCTGATAGGTGCATCACTAACATTAAAAACACACGGTGTAAAGCTCTGAAGATATGTGAAGATCCTGTTTGTAGTTCAACATGTTTGAAAGCGACATATAAACATGAAATACAGCATTTAACTGTAGTAAATATAACACAGTAAAGTACTAATGCTCAGAGTGTTTAAAGGAGTTTAAAGTTGATAATGATTATCTCCCTCTTTCTGTTTTCTCTCTCCATCTATAGTTAAATAAGGAGTTTCAGGCTGAAGAAGCTCCTACCGTCATCCTTTGTATAAGCATGCAGTGGTTCAGAGAATGGGAGAACTTTGTCAAGGGCAAAGACAATGGTACACACTCATGCAAACTCGTATACTGTAGTAACATGCATGTTAACAAACATGGATTGCTACTCATTTATGTTATTCGAGATAATATGCAGCAAAATTAAGAAAGCCAGGTCTTTGGTGTTTAGTTCACTGTTCTGAGGGAGGATTTTAAATGTTTGTTTATATTGTTAAATCATTTGGACTTTATAGTATATTTATAGTATGACAGTTTATCATACTATAAACATTTATAGTGTGATAGTTTGTAGTATTATAGTTTAATATATGAACAAATGTCAGTATGTAATCATTATCTGTAATCAAAAACATTATCATGTCTTACTCCTTACAATGCCACAACTTTTTCTGACAACATGTAAACCAGTATGATGGGTGAGAAATATGGTTCTCCAATGACTGATTGAATTTCAGTGCTCTCTTCTAACTTTTCTCTCATGAGTCCATCACAGCAAGTAGCAAATGACAACAACCCAGTCTATTCCTGAATTACTAAATTAAACCTTACTTTAATTCGTTTGCATGATGGATGCATTTATAATACACAAGAAAAAGAGAGTTTCATGCTGCATTTAAAGGCATAGTTTAGTTATATGTTATAATCCTGTCATCCTTTACTAATTCTTATTTATTTGGTTTTGGTCTCTATTGGTATTTATTATATGGATAAAAAAGTTTAATTTTTAAAAATGTATTTTTTGCTGTTTTGAAGTTAAATGGAGTGAATGTGAGTATAGGATACAATTTAGATTTATAGTGCCACTATTATACTGTTTTAAAGGGTCCTATTTGTGTTTTAGACTCCTAAAATAGGTTTATATAAGAGAGGCTCATTTCTGTTCTTTTTTCCAACCGACAACCGCTGCTCTTTAACCGAATATTAACCGTTAACTGGTCAGATTAATATTAAATTATTATTTAACAAAAAAAATAAATAATAATAATTGACGTGTCTATTTTGTGTCTGACACATTAAATATTGCATTTTAAAATACTGATTTATTTTAACGTGCAAACATATTAACCACAGGACATATTAACAACAGAACATCTTCACACACCTGCAGTGTTTCCAACAGCAGAAAAAAACAAACCAAATAAAATAAAAAAATTAGGCCTGCCCTAGATATTTTTCACATAAATTACAAATTAAGATTACAAAACGAAAACACTGACTAAATCCTTTTTAAGAACCAGCATAGGTTATTTCTTTCCCATTATGTTTTTTTTCTTCCATCAAATACAAATAGCAGGCAACCTCAAATCGATCACTCAACGGAAAATATGCATTTAAATAATGCTCCCCTGTTATAATTATATCACAAACCTCTGTCAACTTTTTAAATAGAAGTCATTACTTTAAAGATTATGTCTTGAGCGTCTATTTTTTTCCTCTCACTCGCTGCATGTGAAGACAGACAATGACAAGGCTCAAATGTGGACTTTTAGTAAAGTATAGGCTACTATAGCATATAGCAATTTTGTTGTTTACTTATGTTATTACATTAATTGCATACATATTTTATAAGCTATAAAATGAAAGCCTCAATTTTGTGCGGAGTTATCATTATGCACAAATCAAGAAAATATTCGGATTTGTTTGATTCATAGATTATGTAAGCTATAGATTATGTAATATAAAAAATGATATTTTATAAGCAATGTTAAAAACTGCAATTTTCCAAGAGGAAAAAAGGTTTGTTTGTTGGTTGTACACTAAATCCTCACAACTATAGCCTATTTGCTTTGTTTATGAGCAGGCTGGAGCGCGCTCTTATGGAGAGAAAATCTAGATGCTCCAACTTGTGGACAGCTTGTTTCCAAAGCAGCGTACATTTCATAAAGTTTTGTTTTGCGGCTTTTTGCTCCAATTGTGTAAATGAACATAGATGTTTATGAGGCGGATCCAGGACAGAGGCAATCAGCATCAGCACGGATTTGGCATCAACTCGTCTGTGTCAAACTGTGACCAGCAATATTCTTCTTTCATTTTGCTTCATTGGCAAAATAAAATGTCTGTAGGCACTTGTGGTTGCACGTGTTACAGTACCGCCAGTTAACAAATATGTGTTTCACATTTATACAGCCAATAAAAAAAAAAAATAAAAAAAAAAAATATTTTTAATCGCTTAGCTGATACCAGTAATTGGTTAAAAACGCACCTTTTCGGATAATGGTAAATCAGTTATTATGAGCATCCCTAGTTTAAATTGGAAAAAAAAAGTACATTATTAAAAAGTAATAAAATACATTTAAAAATAAACCATAACAATATCCTAGTACAGTTTTTTAAATATCTTTTTTTTTAACTGTATTAGCTTGAGAGAACGTCTTTTTCCTTCAGATGTGCCTTTGAAAACAGCCCTTTCTCAAAACGTCAACAAAACAAACTCTACCAGGCCTCATTTATAAGTACAGAGTTTGAGGATCAAATTAGAAAATGTCCATGGAGAGCGAATGAGAGCCATAGGCTGACTTCATAATGACTGGTTACAAATGTATGTAGGTTTGTGCTGAAGGAAAGACTGGAATTACTGATGACTTATTTCAGTCTGTTCAGAATCAGTTCTTTCCTTCAGGAGAAGAGAATTCCGTTTCTGACATACTTTGATCTATATGGAAGATCACAAACCTTTTATGTTCACAAACATCTACATTACAAAGCATAAAAACACCATAACAGGGGAATTTAAGTTGTATATACATACATAAAGTCCATGTTACTTTAGATGATGCATATCAATTATGTCTAATTTTGCAGTACTTTCCAAAGATTACAAACTCTGTGGCTCTGAAACGCATTCAAACACCACTCTCTGTTTGTTTGAGAATCTTGACCAATCTGACACGGCAGCATTGACTCAACCAATTGCGGGATTTCTGTCAGCTTTGCCAAGACCACCCTCTGTATTTTCAAGGGAGTGTTTGCTTATTCACTTTAAAGGTCATAATTTTTTTCTTCCCTGCATCTCTCCCTTATTGCTCTCTCTCTCTCTCTCTCTCTCTCTCTCTCTCTCTCTCTCTCTCTCTCTCACTGTATCTCTCTCTCTTTCTTTCATATACTGCTGGTTTAGAGCCACCAGGCCCCATTGACAACAGCAAGATTGCAGTAATGAAAGGCGGTCATATCCAGCTTAAACAAGGTCAGGACTGTATGTGTGCGTGTGCCTCTCTGCTAATTGACATGTCTGTGACTAATCATTTGTCAAAACTTTCTCTGACTCACTTGAGTGTTATTCATTATCTGTGGATGGGTTTTCAGGAGCAGACTATGGGCAGATATCTGAAGAAACGTGGCAGTACTTGTTAAGTATTTATGGCGGTGGGCCAGAGATTGCAGTGCGGCAAACCATCAGCCCCCCAGACACTGACACACACGGGGAGAGGAAAATAGAGGCAGAGACCAGAGCCCTCTGAAAGGTAAGAATCGTAAACACATACAGCGATCCTAAACTAGGGCTGTGCGATATGGGCAAAAGAAACCTACCACGATTTTCTTGAACAATTCTGCGATTTCGATTTACGATTTTGACACAAACAGATGTTTTACAGTGTGAATCTGAAACATATTTCCAAAGGAATGCAAATCAGACTATCGAGTGTGCGTGTGTGCCGTCCAACACAAGTAGGCTCTAATGTTCTGTTTGACCACATGTCAGAAGTAGTTGTGTGTACTTTTGTACGTGTCCACAGAGGCATAGATCATAGAACTCTTTGTGTGGCTGTCATAAAATAGTTTTTCACATATCGCGTCTTTTGCGCGTACAAGTTCGTTACTTCCAATGAAGGCACGTGGCATGCACATGAAGCACACATGTATTCCATGTGCACCCAGTTGAAAACATGAATACTTTCAGAATGCTGCTAGCGCACCATGAGTCACGTAACAAAAACTGAGCGATCAACTTTGAACTTTATATATAATATACACATTCTGTTTGTCTAATTACTTCAGACAATCACAGCACACCCAAACACTGCAGTGCTTTTAATTCTCTCCATAAATAAAACTTGTATCAGAACTGCAGCAATGTTTTGTTAGTTTGTCATCTTCTGGGACAACAGTTGATGGGCACCGAACAACGACAAAGGAGCACAAGCACAAAGCATGTTACTGACAGCTCTAACAAGTGAAATGATTCGGCAATACATAAGCCTTCCTCTATCCAAAGTATTCCCAGACCGTAGATCTTGACTTTTTTTGGGCAACAAGTCCTCCTCTGCTGAACTCATCCCTGTTTATGCAGGCTATTTGTCAGTCTCCTGTTCTTGTGCTCTATTTAGGTGTGCTGCGTTATGATTGGTTTAAATAGTATACAGTGGGGAAATTGTGCTGTATGGCGATTTAGAAATCGCATATGATCAAATAGCAATTTCAATACGATTTCAATTAATCGCACAGCCCTACCTTAAACAATTATTTGAACCACCAAGCCATGCTTAATATTGAGTGCTACTATTCAAAATCTAAATTTAAAGTGACAGTGAAGGCATTAATATTGTTACAAACTATTTCTATTCAAAATAACATTCTATTTCTGAAAAAAGAAAGGTTTTTAGGGTTTCAAAAGATATCATGCCGTACTGCTTCTTTCAACAAAAGCAATACTTTCTTAAGCATTAATTTAACATTTTATAATTATTTGAATTATTGGTAAAGAATAATAATAAAAAAAAAACATTTTTTAAATTCTAAAATCAAATTTTAAAATAAAATTTTTAATTTTAAAGCAAAATAAAATAAATCGCACAAAAAAGATTTTCAAAAACTTTTTACTTTTTCAGTACTTCTCCTTCCCCAAAGGTTATGTAACACAGTAAAAGTGATGACGCATATAACACTTGTGTGAACTTGAGGAAACCCTTTATACAGCCTCTGATCTGAAAAAAAGAAGTTTATTTAGTTCTGAGTAAAGCTGTAGCATCATTAATACCAGACATGTTTCGTCACCGTATGGTACAGACTGGTATGGTCCAGACAGGCCGATTAATTACATATTTTATGCAATACTATTGTGTCTGTGTTATGGTGGATCTTCAATGAGGGAAGCTTTGCTATTTTTTATTTTTTATTTTTTTTAAAGTAATATTATAGTTTTGCCGTCTAAAACATGCTGTGACTTATTTTCCAAAGATACTTGGGTAGCATGCTAAACCTTTTAATTTGCTTTTTAATTTAATTTTAAGTCTTTGCCATTTCAGTTTCACTTCATGTTTAGGACTTAAATAACTATAATAGTGTTTTTATTGTAGTGTTTATAAAATATAAAGTACATATATAATTTTACTCTTTCTTCATAACATTTTGTTAATTATAATTCCATATCATTAGCGATCTTTTCATATCATTTTGCTCTTTCATTTTATATTTAAATTGATATTTTTTAACCCCCTTTGGATTTTTTTCTTTTTTAAATGTTTTTCAAATTATGTTTAACAAAGCAAGGAATTTTTCACAGTATGTCTGATAATATTTTTCTACTGGAAAAAGTCTTATTTGTTTAATTTCAGCTAAGCTATATATTTTTTTCTGATAGTCTACAGAACAAACTATTGTTATACAATAACTTGCCTAATTACCCTACCCTGCCTAGTTAACTTAATTAACCTAGTTAAGCCTTTAAATGTCACTTTAAGCTGTATAGAAGTGTCTTGAAAAATATCTAGTAAAATATTATTGACTGTCATCATGGCAAAGATAAAATAAATCAGTTATTAGAAATGTGTTAGTAAAACTATTATGTCTAGAAATGTGTTGAAATGTGTTGAAAAATCTTCTCTCCGTTAAACAGAAATTGGGGAAAAAAATAAACGGGGGTTAATGTCTAACCTGACAAAACAGGTGATTTTGCTGACATTTTAAAAATGACAAGGCTGAACGGCATGAAATGCTATCAGTCTACAGAGATTTCCCAGTTTTTCTCTGTTGCAATTGGCATATCACAATAACTAACCCAGAAAGAGCCAAAGCAAAGCAAACACTACAAGTTGCTGTGGTATAAATGCAGCACTACAAAATTCAAAAGCGAGAGAGAGTGACTTAGAATGTCACTTACCTGATTTATAATGATTTGTTCAGATGAAACTTTGAGTAAACGCTGAGTTTTTCTCCCTCTAAGGACTTATTATGAAGTCTTTCACCATCTTGTGGCGGAACACCACTTTCTTTGTTCTGCTTATACATGGCAGCCGATGCACTGAATCTCCGAAATTGTAAATATTTTAAAATAGACCCTATCCTTATAAATAAACTGCATAGTTGCAATCTAAACCACTACGTTCTAGACTAATAAAGACTCAAAAGTACATTATGTTGTCCAACAGCTGCAATATTTGTCAAACTGTAGAGTATCCTCTGCCTGTCGCTGTATGTGGGCGGAGTAATACACAAGGGTGAAGAGGCTGTAAGGGTGTTGATATTACTTTAATATCTCAAGGCTGTCAGCTAATCAGATTCGAGAACCAGACAGAACTGCGAAAAAAAACATACAGTAATTATCAACTTTTTCCCCTTTTAAAACACTTTAATTAATTTTTCCTTAATTAAAGAAAAAAATTGCAAAATTCATTTGACCTTTTGTGTTTGTTTTCTGCAGGTAATGAATACTCACATGCGGATGGATGACCGTCATGCACTGCGCTTACATTTCTGTGTCACAAGCACTTTGTGAGCATTTCTGTGGATGTGCTGTCTGTGACTGACAGAGTCCTCCTAGTGTAGGAAAGGGTCTTATTTATTAAGTGAGTAAATCTATTATCAGGCACGCACATAAAGCATATTTACCGCTCATGAACAAGCTTCATTCCTGTGCTCTGGTGAACTGCTTGTTTCTGTTGTCAGTGGGACGAAAGGCAGTAACGTTACGTCAGCCTTTCTTAGTAGTGCAGAGGTAAACATTCAGATGTATGTAGAGCTCCTCGCTGATTCTGCCAAGGCAAAACAAGGCTTGAACTTAGTATCTGCATGTTCAGAGAAGCTTCCCTTGCTCTACATCATCATAATTCACACTTTGAATTTGAAGAAATCAAGCATGTTGACACTGAGGTTTTTAGCAAATGAATGAAAGAAACATAATAAGGTGAAGGCTTGAAGGGATAGTTCATCCAAAAATTGAGCCTCCGCTTATTTCAAACCTGTTTGAGTTTTTTCTCTTTGGACACAGCGGAAGATTTTGTAGAGTTTAAAATATTACCATTGACATCCATAGTTTTTTCCTACTATGGAAGACAATAGGTACCAGTTTCAAACATTCTTCGAAATTTCTTCTTTTGTCTTAGACAGAAAAAAAGAAACTCCTTTAGGGATTTGAATCCCTTGTTCATTTTTAGGTAAACTATCCCTTCAAACCGGTTAGCACTATTTCACAGCAAAGTGAGTTCTGTTTACGTTCCAACTCACTTCCTACCTCCATGATCCATGAAAACAATTTCCGTCACTACTAAACAATCAAGCGTTCATGTTCTTGCAAGCCACCGCATCATTTATGAGAAGCAACAGCTTTGATGATGGCTGTTTCAACACTTTGGCTTTTGAAATTAAGAGTTCAGGCAATAAAGTGATTCATTTTAAGCAGCAACAGGATGTGATGTCATAAGGTGACATTGCCTTTTCATGCTGAAGGTGAAAGTTTCTTCAATTCGAAATCTTCCTGAATTACAAATCTACTGTGAAACTACTGAAATTTAACTGTAACGATAGCCCCCTTCTCGCATACAGACCTTTCCGGAGAATTCCCGCCGATTTTTCGGGAAGGTCTGTATGTGTGAACAGGCCCATTGATTACGCAATTATACGATTGTTACATTAAAAGCTCAGGATGTGCTTTATTCAGTCATTAATATTGTGTTTCGTGTTAATGCACTTTAAAATCCTCTGTTTTGAAATCAAAGGAAGTGGATTCCCCATCAGAGTGATGCAGGGTTGCGTAAGTGAAAATATTTGACTTATTCAGTATTAAATGGTGACATTTTTTGCAGTTTCCTCAGACTGGCTGATCAAAATCGATTACTCAAATGCTTAATGTGCGTTGATTATATATGTTACAATGTTTTAATAAGGCGGCACTGCAGCCCCGTATGAAACCATCTAAGTACTTTTATGGGAACGTGCAATGAGGCGTCTCGGATGTGAATGCTTATAGAAAGCTGTTGTGCTATAGTTGAACTTTGACATGTTCTTTGTACATAATAAAAGGTAACCGATTTTATTTATGAATGTCTTCTTTTCTCATAAGCAAAATGTCAGAATTGTGAATAGGACAACATGGTCTGTTACATATTTTATTGCAGGAACTTAATCTTCCGAGGTAAATGTCTTTTTAACTGAAGTGATTTCAATATTAATATCTGTCTGATTTGATGAATAGAAATAAAGCCTGTTCTTTCTCCACAGTGTTTGATTCTTTTTTTTCTTTCTT